TATTAACATAATGTATTTATTTAGCTCAATTTCAATTTGACTAATTCAGTTTTATCTTCAAAACAAGCAAATATCACTTTATACGATAGATTTCTTCATCTTTTTATTGAAGAATGGTCAACAGAAGTGAATTATTCAAACTATTTTAATGAATGTGTGCCTTTATCATGTTCATATACAACAACAGAGGCAATATATTTGTCTTATGCAATTGCTGTTTTCATCAGTTTGTATGGAGGTCTCACTAGTATACTTCGGTTGATCTCACCATTATTAGTCAAAATCTTCTTCAAATTCAAGAACTATTCAAAAGAAACAGTGTCTCAAAGCACATGTTTGAATAAATTCATTCAATCAATCCAGCGATTAAACTTGTTTAAAAGCGTTGGTCAACGATCAGAAAACAGTGTCAAACAACAGAAGATTATTACACGTGTCTATTTAATATTATTGATTGGTATAATTATTTTCACTGCAAATACTTCTGTTATTGATAAAGATTAAAATAAGTCTAGTGATGAGAGATATTCGAATATTTTTCTCTATTACTTAGTATCATCAGACTTGAGACATATATTATAGCGTGACGCAAAAGTCACATTACTGACTAGCACTATTGATTTCGACAAAACAATTTTACTTTTTCACACATAGAAAAAACAACACTTATTTTCTCGCAAGAGATATATGCTTTAATACAAAAATTTTTGTCATAAATCTACCATATACCCCCCCCCCCCCCCCCCCCCGGAAATTAACTGTACACCTAGCTTTTGACAATTACTTATCTAAAATATAGGATTTATATCTCATATTTATACCATAAATACTATGTGGCAATTCCTAACTATAAATCATATAATCAGTCTTTAACTACAACAATTTGTTAAAAAATAAGACAATACTTTTTATGTGATTTTGTGTCTTTGTAAAGACACTATTTTTCATTTTCATCTTTTTTATTTTTCTCTCTTCTAATCAGGGATTATTCCTAGTTTAGACATATGGTTACATGTATTTTATTGAATATATTCTCATACAATAACAACATAAGATGTCATTTCTGTCACATGATAATTAAACAATAATATCACTGATTAGCGGAGAGAAAAATAAAAAAGATGAAAGTGAAAATGAAAATGAAAAATAGTGTCTTTACAAAGACACAAAATCACATAAAAAATATTGTCTTGTTTTTTAACAAATTGTTGCAGTTAAAGACTGATTATATGATTTATAGTTAGGAACTGCCACATAGTATTTATGGTATAAACATGAGATATAAATCCTATCTTTTAGATAACATAATTGTCAAAAGCTAGGTGTACAGTTTATTTCCGCCAGGAAGATAGTTAGACAGAAAAAGTCATGGCCTAATCTCTTATAGTTATCGGGAAATCAAAGACGAGATATTTAGGAGGAAAATAGCACTTTTCTCTCTGTGGCCCAAAAAGTACTCCTTTTTACCTTGAAGTGCTGTAATTCAGATAGATTCTAAGAAGTATTACAAAAAGAAATATTAAAATCCTTTGAGTAGAAGTTGAGATATAAGCGAGTTTGTGGTCGGAAGCCATGGGTACGATATCGGTGCAATTCGCCCATATATCTTATATAAAGTCTATATAGCCCAGATGGTAGTGCTGTATAAATCTATCCTATATCGCATCGAAATTTTGAATTACTCTCTAATTCACTTCTGTCATAAACTCATTCAGAGATTACAGCAATCAAAACTATATCTCTATGAATACGTTCATTTATGTCATTGCATCACTAGGTTCGTTTATGATTCTTCTTATTTTCAATTCTCTGAGGACTGAAACAGTTACAACAACGGTATCAAGTCCATCATTAATAACTTACAACAATTTACAAGTCTTATATTCGAATACACTTCGATGTCCTTGTTCGACGACGACAATACCTTATGAAACATTTATATCGTTGTCTCCAATCTTGCATCAAGTGTGTTCAAGTGATTTTGTTACGGATCGTTGGCTTTCAATAGTAAAAAACGTAGCTGATTGGACTTCTGAAGATTGGCGTAATAGAGCTTACTCACAATTTAGTTCATTATCTAACTATTGTCAACTGGCTAATAATACGATCAACGACGCTGTTCATCGCTTTCTTTTACGATCTTTAATTGTTCGAAGTGTTATGCCCGAAAATGAGTTTAATATACAAATGAATGAAGAGCTCGATCACTTTTTTAAATTGACAATTAATGCTTTTGGTTCTCTTATTGATATAGGACATCTTATTACGCAAGTAGATCAACCTTATATGGGATCAAGAACAAACGCATGGAATGCTCTTCCAGATTTAAATCTGGTTGGAAATATTCGAACCAATAATGTAACTAATGAACGATCATTACAGGTATGCCTTCTTTAAAACGTAAAAGTCGAGTAGATGCCTCTTCATGTCACACTTTCGTTTATTTTAAAGAGATCATAGGCTATAGATAGGATAGTGAATCAGTAACCTTCGGAAAATATACATTAGGTGATGCACAAATGTTATGTACAGGAACGAATCCTTCTTTTTCTCCTGTAGGTAATATTTCATTTACTTGGAACTCGTTATGTCAATTTATCATCGATCAACTGTATTTGTGCTACAAATTCTCATTGTCAGAGTCCGGTTGCCATTTACCAAATGGATCATGTATGGGATTCTCGTATTCATGCATACATAGATTATATAGTGCCAGGCTCAGTTGCAGGCTGTTCTACGCTTAATTCTCTTCTATTTTCGCAACTTTTATGTTTCTATTCAGATGCAGATTGTTTTTCAATTTTAATGAATTATACAAAACAGAGTTATTTTCAAAATATTGAATATCCATCATGGTTTGATGTTCATCCTCTTGTTTATGATCCAACATTAAGTCGTTATCCTCCAAATACTTCAATTTCAATGATAGTTGAAGAGATGATGATTGAAAAATGGAATCCATCATATTCATATTATCAATTTTATAAATTATGTGCGCCAACTTATTGCACGTATTCTCAGAGGATTCGCACAAATACCATTATTGAAGTAATAATAATATTAGTATCCATGTTTCGTGGTCTTACTGTCTCATTACATTTAATCACACCATGGTTCGTCAAATTTATGTATTATTTATTCTTAAAGTTCATTGGAGAAAGACAACAAGAACAAGAACAATCAGGTAATCATTGGTTAGATAATTATAAAAATCTCTAGATAGATTATTTTTAGAAAGAGAACTATAATCTTCTAGAGATCATTTTGTGATCGTTGTCAGTTAACGAGTCGTTGAGATAAAATTCTCAATTTAATACAAAAGGAAACTTTCGAATTCGATGAGAAATTCTCTAGTGCAATAAGTCTAAATATTGTATTTGTCTTGTGATAAAAATAAAAATATAAGATTTTTCATTTTTATTCATAGTTCATCTCAGCGGATTCTATCAATTTACGATGATTGTTAGAAATTTGGTCTCGCTTTTCTATACCACTGCAGTCAATCTAAACATGTTCTTGTTACGAGATTTTGGAAGTGATGTTGATCGAACGATAGCGAAATATCTTGGAAAGTTGGCAACACGTCTTTATATCATTTTATTTATTATTGGTCTTGGTATTCTCACCTTATATACTATTGTTCGACCTCAAACTATGACAAAAACTTTTGATAAACCATCTTTTCATTTGTACAATCAACTTAAACAAGAATATGTAGATAGATTAAAATGTTCATGTTCAGTAATTGCATCCAAATACAAACAATTTGTTCATATTGAAGCAATATTTCATCAAGTAAGAGCAAATTGTATATTGATTATTATAGTTGTATTTAATTAATTATAGATTTGTACAAGTTCATTCACTTCGGATCAATGGCTAATCAATATTACAAGTGGTCTTGTTCCTGATCTTACTGTTTATGAACAGAGAGATTATCGTCGTTTTCTTTCTGCTCATTTACAATATCTTCAAGGATTATGTCAATTTTCCATTCTGTCAGTGAACAATTCAATTGAACAATTTCTGACGTCACTTTTCATTACTTCGGAACTTTTATCAGAAAAAGATTTTCATGCACGTCTTCATTTATTGATTGAACAGAGTAAATCAAGTGCGCCGAAAACATCCGCTCATCTTTTGTTTTTAATTCGGAGTATCAATCATGCAAATGCTATGGTATCGACTTATGGAACAAATTTTGAATATATTTCGACTTGGTTTTGGACCAATGACTACTATCCTTATATACCTAATCAAGCGATAATCTATGATAATGAATGTTCTTGTGGATTATATCCAAATTGTACTACTCAAGCAAATTTTATTGAAAGCAATTCTTCTATAATTTCAATAAAAGGCTTGAAAATGGGTTGTACACCAAGTGAATCATTACGTTCTTCAACTCTTGAATGTTTCTATGATCAATCATGTATTAATCTAATTCAACGATATACCAATTCAACAAATCAAATTATTCCTCTTTCGATGAATATGAGTCGATTCTCAATCGATACTACTGTAGCTGAACTTATCAATGATTTATTTGTTGAACAATGGGCAACAACAATAAATTATTCATCCTATTTTGAACAATGTTTACCTTTATTATGTTCATATACTTACATTCAACAATTCAACATACTCTATATAATAACTATTTTACTTGGTCTTCAAGGTGGTCTGACAATTGTTCTTGAATGGATTTCTCCGAAATTAGCTCATATTATAGCAAAAGTACATAAAAATCGAAAGAAACGATTAAATGTTATTGACCAATCACGTTCTCTTAACATGACAACTATTGAAATTGATAATATAAATGTTAACAATTCTGTTTCGAATGTAGAGACATTGCCCACAAGTGTATTATCTGAGTATATCTTTTTTATTTTTAGCTGATATATAATCTATAGCTGTTATCTTTAGGATAACGTTGCACTCATCACGTCGATGGTATTTCAAGATTGTTTTAACATCTTTAATGTTATTGTTTATAATAATGGCTCTTATCCAATTTTCCATTTATGTTGCTCAACTGGGAAAGAATGAAGTTATTGTAACAAGTAGGACTTGTTTATAATTGTCTATGTCATAACTTTGAGGAGTATTTATCTAGAAATTCTGATAAAACATTTTTGAATCTATAAATGATTCTATATATATTGAATTTTATTTTTTATTATTAGCATTCTCGACAACTATGACAGTCAGTATTATCAACAATACAACAATAGCAAGCACGACAACAACAACAATTACGATAACAACTACACACTGTAAGCATATTAATATGAATTTTATTTTTTTCTATCATTAAATAATAAAAAATTGTTCAAATCATCATTCAGGTAGGAAATAAGAGTGTGGGTTTGCGCATAAGATTGAACGATACACATATGTAACATTATCTGAGTCCATCCGCATTCCTTTCCAGATCTTTTTATCCTTTAAAAACTAATAATTATCTCGTTTTTATTAGTACCAGCTTGTCAATTACAGTTCCAAGCAACAACTAGATATAGAAGTAATTCCACTTCTGGTCTTAAATCACCCGTTGCCGGTGATTTTAATGGTGACAATCTACTCGATGTTGCCTTTTTCAATTACTACACCAATAGTATGCATGTACTGATTGGAGATGGTAAGGGAAATTATACCGCAGAGAAGAAGACTTTGGTAGGATCATTCAACAGTTGGAGTTTTATTATTATTACGGCTGATTTTAATAAAGACAAACAACTTGATCTTGCTTTTACCAGTGAAAATAAAGCCTATGTGTATCTACTGTTCGGACATGGTAATGGGACATTTCGACCAGTAGTATCAATCTTCTTGGGAAACAAAACTAACGCGAGAGGAATTGTTGCTTTTGATTTCAATGGTGACAATCACTTAGATATTGCTGTCGCCCATCCATCGAATAGTATTATTATTGTATTGTTAGGAAATAATAACGGATCATTTTCAACACGGACAACATATTATACAGGACGTAATGGTAATCCATCGTCAGTTGCCATCACTGACTTTAATGGTGATGGTTACCAAGACATTGTTTATAATAATATTATGTCCAGAAATATCGGCGTTTTACTTGGACGTGGTGATGGAAATTTTGAACAACAAAAGACATCTTTCACTGGTGGTTTCTATTATTCATCTTTTATTGCTGTTGGCGATTTCAATAGTGATAATCGACCCGATGTCGTTACCTCGTACAATGCTGGAAATAGTTTGGGTGTTCTTTTAGGCTATGGTAACGGAATTATGGGCCCAGTAGCGAAGTTCCGAGTGGGAAATAGAACAAATTACCCAAGAATTGCTGTTGGTGATTTTAACAATGATGGTCATTCGGACATTGTTGTTAATTCCATCTTACGCTCCGTTATATATATTCTAGTTGGATATGGAGATGGAAACTTTGAAGTGCAAATGATATTTTATACAGGATTTGCTGGTACTTATACTTGGGTTGATGTTGCTGATTTTAATAATGATGGTTGTCAAGATATACTCGCTTCGGATGATACAAGAGGTGCTGTATTTATTCTTTTGAATAGCTGTAAATGTCAATCAAATCAAACCGTCGAGATAAGCACCTCGATGCATCCTTGATTTCTTTTTCGTGAACCTCTCAAGTTACAAATACTTTTCTTGGACGTCTTGCTACAATCATTTGGCTTTTCTCATAGTATCAAATTTGAAATCCAATAACATATTTGAACAGTATCTG